AAAAAAACATTTTAAGAGAAAATTCAAGTAATAATCAAACCATAACAGGAAAGTTAATAAGCCGTGATTTAGGTGTATTTTTCCTAACAAGAGGCAGCAAAAGGCCATCAGGATTCAGGGAGGTGCCTTGTTACTAAACAATTTTCTTATTATTTCCTCAATTCCCTTTTTTATTTTAGGGTTTGACCAATGCTGCTTTATAAACTCGTAGGTGGTTTTTGAATGAAAAAATTTCTCTCTAATGTGCTTAAAATTTGTACACTGGATTAAAATATGTTCCCAATCCTCAACAAGCTGACAGGTACTGCACAGCTGAGCTCCCCCAAAAAACCTGGCTTGATGTTGTCCATGACAGCCGTGATTAGTTAGGAATTGATTTAAAAAGAAATTCCCCATGATTTTCCTCGTTTGAACTTTCGGGAGGAGCTCGAATGTGTGCCTTCCCTTTGTGAAGCTGTCACTCCATCTCTCCTGCCATTCAATCAATTTTTCGCGTTCCAAAGTTTTTCTTGCAGTCCGCCTGCTAGGATCTTCAAACAGGTCGACCGTTGATCTCTCACAGGCTAATTTGGCTAACCTATCAGCTTCTTCGTTGCCCTTATGGCCTGCATGTGCTTTTATCCAATGTAAAGCGATATTGTTTGTGAATTCTTGTTTTATTAAGTGGACTAAATACTCTTTAGAGTTGCTGCTTTCCAAAGCTTGCAGGCTAGACAGGGAATCCGTATAAATTGAGATATTGTCTGTAATTCTTTGTTCTTTAAGCCAACGAATCGACTGGAGAATGGCCCATAATTCAGCCTTAAACACGGAAACGTGATCAGAGATGCGAAAGGTTTTTCTTTCAACAGGTTCTCCCTCCAGATAGGCCACGAAAGCGCATCCTGTCTTAAACTCATTGTTAACTAATATTTTTGATCCATCTGTAAATAATTCTAGTCCTTTATAAGTAGGTAAATGCAGTTGATATTTAAGTAAAATTTCTTCAGCCGGATGATAAATATAAGGTGTAGGTATTGGTTTATAGATTATATGTTCTTCTTCATGTTGAAAAATATTATTAAGTTGAGCTTCTATGTTTACTGCCATATCTAGAGGAATTGTTCCAGCAAGTACTTGGAGAGAGTCAGTAGATGCAGTCTTGTATGCCTTAGTGATAGATAGTAAAGAAGTTCTTTCCATTTTTTTCAATCTATTAATGATTCTTACCTGTTGGGAAAACCAAATTTCTGCTCCATATAAGATAAGTTTCTGAGTGCTGTTTAGGTAGATGAATTTCCGAACATCAGGGCCAATCCCCCAGTCGACCCCAGAGATTCTATTTAGTTTAGCTTGAAATTTAGTAACTTTGCTATAGATAAAGACAAGGTGAGGCAACCAGGAAAGCTGATAATGCAATCTAAATCCCAAATAATCTATGGTTTCCTTCGTTGCAATGTTAGCCCCACAGAGTTTTATAGTTGGTCGTCTTGAGACTCGCGGACTTTGACTTTGAGACTTTGGGAAATACAATCGCGACAGTTTTCTTGGTACTGAATTGAAGATTGTGGGACGTAGCCCAGTTTTCAAATTTCGTCAAAATCATAATGGCTTGGGGTCCAAGTCTATCAAGAAATGTTCCGTTGAGAAGTAAAAGGAAGTCATCAGCGTTTGCGATTATTTGCTCATTAGATTCCCTTTTCATATTTAAAAGAGTGTTCGCTATAAGTAGCCATAAGATCGGTCCCAGACTTGAACCCTGTGGGACTCCTCTTGCTAGAGGTCTCTCCAACTTCTCATTCTGGATATCAAACAGGATCCTTCTGTTGTCCAAAAAACTTGAAATCAACTTAACTAAGTCATAGGAGCAGTTGCAGGAATTCAATTCTTCTATAATTTTGTTCCATAGGATGCTATCAAAAGCACCTTTGATGTCAAGGGAAATACCCAGTGCGTGATGTTCATTATCCTTTACGACTACTAATGCTCAACTCAGTAGCCTTGTAATTTTGAACTCAATCCAGAAGACAAGGGTACTCCAGGATCAAGTATTGGAAAAAGTTTGCCTTCGTGGAGCACTTTTTTGATGTAAACTAACCGGCATTAGCGTTACATTGAGAGGAAGAAAACGAGAAGCTACAGACAGAACGTACATTAGCTTTCAGTGAATCGTCTTTGAGTACGTTCATGCTAAAGTTGGCTATAAAAAGATATGTCTTCTGTGAAACAACGAATATTTCTATTGTGCTAGAATGTCACCAACTGAAACATATTCTGAATAGGAGACGAAGTTTCTACGAAAAACTTTAATTTTGACTGAAGAACCGGTAAAAAACACAATTAAAAGTTTGTTTTCAATATATGAACAGACTAATATATGACGACCGCGAATGAAACGTAAATGAAACAAAAATTTCGCTTCCTCAACTACAGGTATAGCAATGTTATTAATGTGTATGAAAGGATCATTATGCAGCCTGCGCAACCGACAAAAATACATGCATGAACTTTTGGAGGTGAAAGTGTATGCCCGCGTTGCGAAACAAAGCAAGTCAAAAAGATTTGCGCTTTTCGCACCCACAAAAAATTTAAACCCAAGAAAAATGGTTGAATAACCCATGAAAGTAAAGAAAAAAATCTAAAGCTAAAATTCTTTTTAAAAGCGGAATGAAATTTTACGAGAAAAAAATAATATTCATTTTATTTGCGTTTTAATTAAGAAAAGTAACTTAAGAAAATTTCACTGAAAAATTTCCCATGGAATAAGTTAAAACTGTTATGAAATTAAGGGTGAATAAGGATTTGAAATAATTAGATGAAAAGATGAAATTAAAAAAGAGTAGTTGTAACATTAAAAGTGTAACTGTGGCAACATACTATGATGATAAAATCACCTTCCTTTCCCTTTTTTTAAATTCAAAATTTTTCAGATAGTTCGAAAATGGATAATTTTGTTTTGACAACACACATGATGAACGTCAACCTTTATATAGTATTTCATAATTGGGTACAGTAACTACCTTGAAACTATCCAATGGAGAAAATGCGAGCAAACTCTAATTTCTAGTGCATTCGAATGATGATAAATATTTCGAGCTAAGAGGCTCTTTCAAACCTTTTTATGAAAGCGATTAAGTTATGTGGTTAAAGTTAATAGTTAATTTTCCGTTGTGGTTAATTTTTATTAAAAATAATTTTATGCCTGGGATAGATATGATTTCAAAAATTCATACGAATTAATGCAATGATACATATAAATTTTTCAACATTGCTTTCGATAAATTTCGAAGTATCTATTTATTTTTATTGTAAATAGAACTCATAATATGAAATGCTCGAAAGGCGATTGCAAATAGACATATCGTGGCTAAGTCAAACAAAATCTCATAACTTATGTTATTTCCACATGCAAAATAAAATATGTAACATTCAAAGAAAGAAGAGAGATGTATATTTTACATGGTTTATATAAGCTGTTTACGTCAAAAATTACAAAGAGTAGAAATTTAATATAATTTATGTAATAAAGTTTTATGAAATCAGTATTATTCAAATATTGAAAACGATTATGTGCTTATTATTTATTTTTATTTTTAACTTTTTGACTTAAAGCATGATTGAAAAATAATTTAAAAATGAGTGAATATTAGTTTTTTTTTAAACTTCTGTTTCAGTTGTTAACAATTTTAGAGTCACAAGTTTCTTTTTTAATTAATTTAAAATTACCACCATAATGGTTATTTTAAAACTTCTGATTTTGTTTGGTTGTTCTCTAAACTGCTTCATTTCAATTTGAACTGTCTTTTAAAACAAAATGTTTGTGATATAGTCAATGAAAATTGTGTACAATATTGCCTGGAAGAGCAATTTAATGTAAAATGATATTTAATCAAACAGTTAATCGAGGCATATTGGCGAGTATAAAATGCATTTATATTATGTATTTTTTTGATTATCATAACTGCTTTTTTAAATTTAACATTACTTGAATGTATGTTTGCTTTTATATGTATTACCATATAATATATTACGCAAGTTGATGAAGATTACATAAATTCAAAGTAATTAAGTCTGAATTCAACTAACATTAACTTGAATATGAATATATATTACGTGAATAAAATTAGCATGTATCTCTTTTGTAAGTTGCCAATGTATAATTTGAGATAAAATTACTTTTGGATGTTTTCTCAGGGACTGAAATGCTTTAAAAATAATTGATTACAAAAATTGTGCTACATAACCTTTTCATATCTACAAATATTCGTGTTGTACTATAATATTCACTAGTGTTTCATAAATTCAATCTATTTTATATGTTATTGCTGAATAAATTATTACCAAATATGAAATGAAAATTTATATACAGATATTTGTGATTCAGAAATATTCTTTTATGAATAAAAATTTTTCTTAAAAATTTCTGTAATGAAAATTTCTTTATTGAAAAGAGTATTCAGAGAATTAGTTTTTCATTAAAAATTAACTTTTTAAATGTGCTTCGCCATTTTACAGATGACAACCGGTAGAAAGATTTGTGTTCTCAAAATTTAAGCTTTTCGTGTACATTTTGTAAAATTTATTTTTTGCTTGTTCCCAATTAGCCTTAACAGTTTAGACACACTTACCACTGAGAAAATCGATATTCTACTGCCATTTTTGTACTACCATTATTTCAAAGATAAACACCTATAAAAAGAAGTAGAGTAGTTCAATTTAATGTAGGGTTTAATGGTCCATAAGGGAACATGGTGAGCCAAACAAATGGTTTTAAAACAAATCAAAAATTAAAATGAGTACTACAAATTTTCCATACTGGGTACACAACAAAGATAAAACATTACATAACGAAGCACGTGTATTCAGAAGTTAATAAATCAAGCAAAATTATTAATTAAGATTAAACAGTTGTATACAATATCAGGCACCAATAGTACGTATAATAGAGTGATATTTGGATGATGAGTTTCATATAAACTGTCTTTCTTACATAAAATCGAGCCATAAAAAAGGTGATGTTGGTCCAAATAAAGCATTAAAATATGATTAATTGCGAGTAAAATAAATTGCATTCCGGAGGAGGTTACCTAAATAAGATCCTTTAAAAAATTTAGATGTCTTTGAGGTTGTTTTGAGCTATTAAGGTTGATTTGAGGTTTATTTGAAGTTGACTTCAAAAACAACCTTTAAAGATAACCTCGTAAGGTGTATGAAGTTGTTTTACTCACACTTGAGGCTGATGGAAATCTATGATCAACCAGCTTAGGGAGGTTGTTTTTGAGGTGAACGTTTTTTTTTCAACACTTCCAGCTCACAATTATATTTGTGGGGTGAATAATTTCACTCGAAGACTAAAAATAAAAATATTGCTGAGTTACGTTTGAGGCTGGTTTCGTGAGGTGTAAGTGAGGTTGAAATCGAGGTTTAGTATGAGGTTATCTTTGGTTCAAAACATAACCTTATTTACTACCTCAGGTACATTATTTTACATCTTTCAACCTAAAAACAGCCTTAAAAGCACCTTATTTTTTTTGTAAGGGATGAGTAAGTCTAGTGTGTCGTATTTGCCATCAGGTGAGCTCGTAATCTGCCTTGCACGCGTGCAATATGTGCAATATACAATTTGTTTTCGTTTCGTAAGTCTCAGTGTTCCCACCCTCAAAAAATGAATAATTTGGTGAATGGAATATTTTCAATCTGACAATGCAACAGACAAGGTTAAGAGTAGAGGCAGCTGAATCAGGTAAGTCGTTTCCTGAAATACCAAAACGACTGCAAATTTAGTAAAATAAGATATCAAATTCCTTCATCTGAAGAACAGCAAGTAAATGTTGAATAAAAACTAAAATTGTGAGTTTTGTTTCTCTCATGCCCTAGCTGTCACAAAACGCTCTAAGTTGTCCAAATAAATGCAAATAAGCGTACGCTAAATGCGAAGAAATGAGACGTGAAGATAAAAGGATGGTAACTGTTTTCGTAGAAAAAATAGAGCAAATGGCGGGAATGTTGAAGTTGTAGGTAACGTTAGCTAGATGATGCCACACCCAACATGTTTTGAGTCATTTTTAAAATTTGCTATATATTGTGTATATTGATGACAATGGAAAGTGAATAGCTGTTATTAAATCCCAGGTAAAGCATTTAACTTACCATAGGAGCCTAATGAACGAAATGGCCGCAGTTCGATGAGAATATGGTCTTTT